ATGTTTTTTTTTTCTCTTCAGGATCCTTGTATTTTGCATTAGCTTTTCACAATGGTATATATAGATTAAGTTTGCACTTTTTATTTTTAAATTTACTAAGAATAAAGGGCATTCAGATATTGCTGGATGGTGATTCAATAGGACAGACAAGGTTAGTCAAAAAAATTAGAAAAATACATAATGTGAGCCCCGGGGCCGGGGTGGGGAGCGTCCGGCCCGCGGGCGGCAGCAGGACCAGGAAACCACTGGGCCTGGCCCGGCCGAGGCCTGAGGGGTGAGTTCGTTAAACGCCTGGCCCTGCAGAGCAGGCGAAGGTTTACGCGGTCATTCTGTACGGCCTCCGAATGAGTTATACACGTCCCCACGGCCCTGGGCAGAGAAGGTTCCCCACCCCCGTCCAGAGGGCGGGGGGACCTCAGATCCAGCCTGGACAGCGCGACAGGCCTTGGAGAGAATGTCGCACCGGGTCTCGGCCGGGAGCCAAGTCCGGAGCGTCCACTGTGCGTCCAGGACCCCCTGTGCCCGCAGAGCGGCCGACACACACATCCAGATGCCGGGAGAGAGACGGGGCCACGCGGAAACGCAGAAATGACACAACCACCATGGAGCCCCCAGACAGGACGCGGGGCGGGGCCCTCCTGGGTCAGTCGCCAGGGAAACAGCCCCGATGGTGGTGCAGGGGGTGCCCCTCCTGGCCAGTCCCCGGGGGGCAGGGTGGAGAGCACGCTGGTGGGTACCCCTTGGTCCTAAGGGGACCCCTTCTTCGGGCCTCACCCGGTGACCTCATCCAACGCTCATCCCTCCCGAACGGCCCCACCTCTCTTTGTGGCTCCGTCTTTTTCCCACGCCCGACCCCCAGTGTGTTGTGTAAAGTCTGATTATCTGTGAATTTCCGAGTCCCTCTCCGTGATGGGCGTCCGTTTTAATGCCTTTGCGACGAGGGCACCCGTGCTGCGTGATTTCGATTCTTTTAAGACGCGGGAGAACCGCTTCCTGCCTGCAGGGCTCAGGGCTGCCTCTCGCTGAAGGTCCCACGAGTGCGTGAGGGCGATTTGTATTCTGCTCTTGTCGGGCACGTCGTCGTACAGATGTCGGCTCGGATCAGTTGCCTACGTCTGCAAGGAACCTGCCTTAAATATAAATACGCAGGTTGGACAACAAGAGGATTGAGCCCTGGCTGGTGTGGCTCAGTGGATAGCGCATCGGCCTGCAGACTGAAGGGTCCCGGGTTCGATTCCGGCCACGGGCACACGCCCAGTAGGGGGCGTGCAGGAGGCAGCCGATCGGTGATTCTCTCTCATCATTGATGGTTCTTTCTCTCTCGCCCTCTCCCTTCCTCTCTGATATGAACAAAAATATATGCAGGAGGCGGCCGATCCATGATTCTCTCTCATCATGGATGTTTCTCTCTCTCTCTCTCCCCCTTCCTTTCTGATATGAGTAGAAATATATTTAAAAAATAAATAAAAGGGCTGAGAATTCTATGTGGCCTCACAACTACTCGAGGGACAGTCAGGGTAGCCTATTATTTAAAAAATATATTTTATTGATTTTAGAGAGGAAGGGAGAGGGAGAGATTGAAACATCAATGACGAGAGAGAATCATGGACCGGCTGCCTCCTGCACGCCTCCTACTGGGGATGTGCCTGCAACCTGGGCAAGTGCCCTGGGTGGGAATCGAACCCGGGACCCTTCCGTCCACAGGCCGACGCTCTATCCACTGAGCCACACCAGCCAGGGCCAGGGTAGCCCATTAAAGAGAGACGAGTGAGCCAGAGGATAATGAATGACTGTTATCAGAGAGAAGGTTTCATAATGACGGGTGGCCCCTGCAACAGGACACGGCGGCGTACACACGCGTGCGTCACGCAACAGAGCGTCACAACACACGCGGCAAAACTGGATGGAGAGACACACAGACACGGACTTCGGCCTCCTCTGTCGGCCGTGATTAGAACAAGGGAACGGAAGACACGTAAGGACAGAGCCGACTTCAAAACCCCTTCAGGCCGCGGATCTGAGCCGACATCTGTACGACCAGGAACCCAACAGCAGAATACAAATCGCCCTCACCCACACGTGGGACCCGCAGCGAGACACAGCCCTGAGTCCTTCAGGCAGGAAGGGATTCTCACCCGTTTTAAAAGAATCGAAATCGTGCAGCCCGTGTGCCCTCGTCACAGCGGCATTGAAACGGACGCCCACACGGAGAGGGACTTGGAAATAAACAAATAATCGGGTTTTAAACAGCACACTTGGGTGGAAGGTGTGGGAAAAAGACAAGCCACCAAGGACATGGGACCTTTGGGGAGGGATGAGCGTTGGATGAGGTCACCAGGGTGGGGCCCTACCAGGAGATTAGTGCCCTGTGAGAGGAGGACCCACCAGAGCTTTCTCTATCCTAGGTCCCTCGGGGATTGCATCGTAATCAGGGGCCGTTTCCCTGGTGATTGGCCCAGGAGGGAGACGCCCTGCATGACAATCAGGGGCCGTTTCCCTGGTGATTGGCCCAGGAGGGACACGCCCTGCATGACAATCAGGGGCCGTTTCCCTGGTGATTGGCCCAGGAGGGACACGCCCTGCATGACAATCAGGGGCCGTTTCCCTGGTGATTGGCCCAGGAGGGACACGCCCTGCATGACAATCAGGGGCTGTTTCCCTGGTGACTGGAGACACACCCTTGGCGACCAGCCCAGGCAGACACAGCCCTGGCGTCTGGCTCAGGAGGGACACGCCCCCTCCCCATAACCTGGCACCATTCCCCTGGCAACGGGCCACCCATGCCTCCTACTTCCTCTCCTAAATGCCTGCATGGGCCACCGCTCTCGCCTTCCAAGCACAAGAAGAGGAACGGCGTGGAGTTAATAACACACCCTCTCTGCCGGACTCCTCCATGCCAATGAGGTCAAGGTGACCTCCACCAATGACTGCCTCCCTCGGCAATGAGGTCACGGTGACCTCCACCAATGACTGCCTCCCTGGCCAATGAGGTCAAGGTGACCTCCACCAATGACTGCCTCCCTCGGCAATGAGGTCACGGTGACCTCCACCAATGACTGCCTCCCTGGCCAATGAGGTCAAGGTGACCTCCACCACCGGGATCCCGGCCAGAAGGTGCCTTCAGAAAGGCAGGAAGTGAAGGTTAAGGGTGATGCACACCCCGCCCCCCAGCTCAATGCTGGGGACAAAGTGGGCGGGTGGCGGGGGGCAAAATGAACACCTGGACCTGGGCCAGGTCGGGGGCGGCCTTCTCTGTGGCGTCCAGGCCTCTTCTTCATGCCCTTGGCGTCGCCTCCTGTTTTGCCCCCCTTCTCGGTTACGTGTGGGGCGCAGAAGTGACCTCACGCTTTCAAAGACAGACTTTGGGGCCACTGAAAGCGCCCCCTCATCTGTGAGACTCGTGCAAAGTTAGGGACGTCCACCCACGGCGTTACGGTGGAGAGGAGCAAGATGCGTCCCATCAGGAGATTTAAGCGGCCCCTTCGAGCTCCTGGCGCGGGAGGGCTGGAGGACACAGGGGTGTGAGCTGGGCGTCCAGGTGAGCTGCAGGGCGACACCCTCCGTCACGTACTCTTCTGGGATTGCCTGTGATTGGCCCCTTTCTCAGCCGACACCCAAGAGGGCACGGCATGGACAGGGACCCCAGGTCGGTTCCATCCTGGAGACTAGCGAGCATTCCACCCAAACCACCGCCTGGCGGGATGAGGCCTCCTCGCTCGTGCAACGGCAGTGGGACATGACATCCTATGTGATGAAAGGGTGCTATGCTAATTAGGCCGGACATCTTCCAGATGTCCTTCCGGACAAAGCCACCGTGGCGGGGGCCGAGGCAGAGGCGGTTAGGGGCAATGAGGCCGGCAGGGGAGCAGTTAGGGGCAATGAGGCCGGCAGGGGAGCAGTTAGTGGCAATGAGGCCAGCAGGGGAGAGCAGTTAGGGGCGATCAGGCTGGCAGGGGAGAGCAGTTAGGGGCGATGAGGCCGGCAGGGGAGGGCAGTTAGGGGCGAGGA